TCGTGGCGATAATTGCAACGTATTAATATAATAATTGAATATTTAATAATAAAGAAAGTTTTAATTACTTATACATGCTGTTTCCGCGCAACGGCGTATTTATTAAATTTCTTCTTTTTTTTTTTTTTTACTAATAACCTATGTTTTATATGTATGTAGTACGTGATTTTTCATGTGCCAGGTTTGTACACAAAATATTGCGCAGGAGCAAGGATAAAAACAAAGACTTAAACAATTGAGGGGTCATACCTGTGTGAGCAATAATAGCATGAAATTTTAAACTAAAAAAAAATATTTATAATAAAATAATTGAATAAATTGCAATAAAAAATTGTGTATATAAAGAATAATTTAATATTCGGCATACAAACTTTGTAGCAGCATATTTAAATTAATATTGTGCTGCTTTAAACAATAATAACAACACCAGCAATTTCAAGCAGAGTTATGCGACATAACTGTATTCATCACCCGAGTTGGGAGTACGTTCTATATATTGTTTGTCAATCAGCGATTCGATGCATTTTTTTATCATTGAAATACTCGGTGTAAAGCTCACTCTCGATTGTGATAAAATCTATGTAGAAAGATATCGCATTAGCACAGAAGAAACATAAATGAAAATGAAAACGAATGCACCTCTTGTATAAGCGCATTGTGCTTTAGAACTTTGCGAGATTTCATGATGCGCACAATGGCCGCCTGCAGATAAAGCTTTCTGTCCTCGTCTACTGCACTGATGGTGTGTTCGATTTGCTGCAATACAAACAGATACAAAATATACATTTGATTATTCTTTAACAGTAAATTAATGTAGCTTCACTCACCTCTTGTTGTGTTTCCTTTTGCATGGCAGATGTTATTTTGAATTTTGTTCTCTTGTTCGAATAATCGAAATTCAATTCGATTTTCGTATTGCCCTCTAGGTTTTCTGAACTCGCAATGAGCAATTTCGATTCAAGCAGCGATTGTAAATGTTTCTGAAACGTTTCACTATTCAATTGCAGGGTGCTTTGTATGTCCTTGCAGGTAAGCGAGTCACAGGATTCAAATAACAACAACATGGCCATTTGATAGGTTTGCATTGTAACTATGTATGTTTTCTTCACATAGCCCAGCTTCAGTTCGCCTTGACACATATGATGAAGCCATGTCAATTTGCGACCATTAAACGATTTGTGATAGAAGGCTTCGAACTGCAAAATAAATAATATGTGCAATATTTTAGGTTATTAATTTGAGGTTATAAGGATAAATAACATGTGCAATGTTTTAGGTTATAAGAAGTTAATATATAAATTCCGAGCAAACCGAAGTCATAATACACCTTTCCGGTGCATTTCTTAGCGCATAAAGAGTATAAAAAGTTTTTGAATTGATTTCGTTCGATCAATTTGTATGCAGCTATATGTCATAGTAGTCCAATATGAATGAAAACTACCTTGGAAAATATTCCATATCAAATATTGTGAAGATATCTTATCAAATAAAAAAGTTTGTCTTACAAAAGCTTAATTTTTTCCGATCAATATGTAGGCAGCTATATGCTATAGTGGACTGATCTGAATAATTTCTTCGGAGATTATAGCGTTGACTTAGACAATAATATATGCTAAATTTAGTGAAGATATCTTATCAAATAAAAATG